TCCCTCTCTCTCACTCACCCATGGAATAATTGACATTTGTGATTATTTCTTTTAAAGGTGTACCTCAAATTTTTAAAGAGTACCAGATACTAATATTGGCGATATAGTTTGTTTATTCTTACTAAAAAATAAAAACAATTTTATAAATATTTTTGTTAAAGAGGACCAATTACTATGATTCCAGCTCCAAACTATATTAATTTGATCATTATGTTGATTAATAATAATTGCCTAAATAATTAAAAAACTGAATTTTGTAATGTGTATTAGACAGTGTAGTAAAAGTAACACCTTAAAAAAATTAAAAAAAAAAAAAAAAAACATGTAATTTTTTGACAAATGCTTATTTATAATAGAGACATTCTTTTTCATTTCAACTCATTATTATATTGATTTCCCTCTGATTCAAATCCACATTTATTTAGAATAATTTATTAAACGAACATAATTAAGTAATAATTAATTAGTATTTAAGGGAAATAATGGTGGTTAAGAGATAGATCCCTGTAAATAGATATAGATCCCTGTAATTGCACTATTGTTAACAATAACGGAGAAAGTTAAATCTATGGAGTTGAATATGGCTAATGATCCCAATGGCTAATGGTTGTATATTTAATTAATGGTATAATTTTATATAAAGACTTTAAATATTTTCTTTAGAGATATTGAAGCTAGTAATATTATCATTTTGCCAAAAACGATAATATTACTAGCTTGTACATTTTGTGGCCATTTGTTGCATTAAAAACATCTAAAATGTCAATATTCCATGGGTATATTGATAAATGAGGTCTAAATTATAAGAAATGATTTTCTACGGTGAAAACTTGAAGGGATGGGTAAAAGTGGTAATGTACAATTTGATAGACAATTAAATTGCATCTGATTCTCCTAAAATATACAGGGCGTTATATTTAAATTCAAACAAGTTATTGCCGTTTAAAAGCTATAAATAATTTAAAATAAATTTTTAGACACTCTAAAACTACACTATTTTTATTATTTTATTATTGCAAACAATAACTGATCAATAAATAAACTTCAGTAAATTTTTAGTATTAAAAACTTTGATACCCTTGGAGAAATGAAGCCTTAAAATTTTTACAGCAATTTCACAAAATTGAAAATATTTAAAAAAGTTTTTTGTAAGGTTTAAGTGTAGTAAACCTTAATCAAATTTAGCTTTATTTTAATCGTAGAGACTAAACATGTAATAATATACATGGTGTTCCATTTAAAAAAATACAACTTTGATATTTTTTATTTATTTGGGACACTCTGTATCATGTAAAACTATTTTTAAATTGTAGCTCTAATAGTCCTTCAACGAACCCAAAACTTACAATTTGTAAAAATCTAATTATTTAGCTACAATCTCGGCTACAATACTCCGTGTCGTATGTGGTGAACAACCCTGTATATGTTTAATTACAATAATTATTCAGTAATGAAATTAGAAAATATTCAGATTAAAACCATTTATTTCCTATCTCGTTTTGATTAGTCTCACAATATGATGGAAAACGAATTTAAACATTGTCAAAAAATAATCATATTAGATATTTAATTTTTGATTCGTCTTGATGTTAGTGACCATTTATTAACAACCAAACGAGCAAAATCAGAATAGCCCATTATTTCAATGATTGTTGATCGTTTCGTAGATGGCAATTCATATGTGATTTATGTCATTGGCATGGTGATGTTGCATACACTTACTTTAGAGTAACTCTTAAGATAAAAAATGGATATTGATTAATATATAAGTTGTATGTAGAGAAAAAAAAACGGTAGGTTTCTGTAACATGGTAAAATCGTCTTCCTCATTGTAACATACTACTTTTAAGCATACTTTTTAGAACGATTTTTGTACCACAGTCAGTCTTCCTCGACGGATGCCAAAATTTTTCATTTGCAAAAAAAATTGTACGCCCATCACCTATTTTTCTTAGAAAAAAACTGTACTGTAATTCCGCAATAAATTAGTTTAATTGCGGGATTTATTACAGTATAATTTGTATATTTCTTTGTGTATAGTTTAATTTATGCTGTAACTCACTCTTAAGTGCTACCCTACCTTTCCGACTGTGAAATTACGACGGTAGCATATTCCTATAACATTAATTATAAGTTAACAAATACATTATTATTTAAAATTTATGTGTGTTTTATTTATTAATTATAACATTCCTAAACCACGTGAAATACTATTGTTATTGATAATAATAATATTAACTAATTAATAATTATTATAACTAATTGATAATAATAATTAGTGACTAATTAATAATAAAATAATTTTAATTGCCTCGAAACATAAATAAAATTGATAATAATAATTAGTGACTAATTAATAATAAAATAATTTTAATTGCCTCGAAACATAAATAATAAAAAAATTTACTAGCAATACCACAAAAAGGTTAAATTATTTCAGGATATTTTTTAAGCCCGAGAGAATTCAAGGTGCCTCTTCCTATACGACAGTTTCTATTGAAATGAAATTTTTGAGTTAGGTTAATTTAGAGCATATATAGAGTTCTACAGGGTGTCCCCAAAAAATGTACAGGGTGGGCCAAATTGGAAGCTTTTAAAGGGAAACACCCTTTTCTATGGGAGATAGACGAAAACTAATATCGGTGTCTGGAGCTCAATTTTTATCAAAAACATGGTGGTGAAAACCGCACATCGATATCTGTCACCGATTCGGAGTTACGGGGTGTTTTTTCAAAAATGTACATTTTTAAAAAATCGCTGTAACTTTTTTGCTATGAAAAATTTTGTATTTTTGTGAAAACATTTCCAAAGCACCTTTTTACGTAAAATTTAATGGTTTGGGTATAATTTTTTTAAAATTAATAATTTAAGAATTATCAACACAAAATTTTATTTTTATATGGGACACCTTGTATATTTTTAATTCATTAAAAAGAATTTAATTTTACCTTCCCATAAATGTAGCATACATGATATTTTCCTCTTCGAGACATAGAGTTTTTAAAAATTCGCCCACTTTGAATAAGTAGGCTTTGAACGGCGCCGGTTGTAATGCAAAAAATTAAAAAAACGAAAATAATATTTGCAGTGAGATATGCAGAATTTTATAACAATTTAAACTATATTTAACAACATCAACATATTTAAACTATATCTAATAACAATACAAATTAATAGCAAACCAAGACATGAGATTTTGCTACAGGTGTTCTACATGTTGACTGTCTTCTGTTATGGACAGACGGGACCGTTTTTGAACATTTCTCGCGGAATTAATTAACTCAGTGGGGGTGAAAGATACCCTCTCATAATGGCTAAGTACTTCTAATTCTTGTCTAGATTATACGGGCAATTTAAAAATAAGAATCTTTATTCTTTCTCGAGTTCTTTCTCAAAGATAAAAATCCACTAAGGATAGCAGGCATTAAGTCCGGCGGCCTCGACGGCCAACGGCTGGAATCTTGGTTAGCTATTCAATTATACTCGGAAATTGGCTGCAAAAATTTTTCTGGAAACTTCAGCGTTCTGTGGCGGTGCCTCGTCTTGCTGGAAAAATATGTTTTCAAGTTCCATTAAGGGCAAATTATCAATAAGGGGTCCAAAGCCTACTAGTTAAAAGTGGCGAACTTATAAAAATTCTGTATTTCGAAGGGGACTATAACAAAATATCAAATATGCTATATTTTTGGAAAGGTAATTTTAAGTTCTTTTCACTTAATTAAAAATATATAGGGTGTCCCAAATAAAAATCAATTTTTCTGTTGATAAATCTAAAATTATTAATTTTAAAAATATTATACTTAAACCATTGAATTCTACGTAAAAAGGTGCTTTGGAAATATTTTCACGAAAATACAAAATTTTTCATAGCAAAAAACACATTTGCACATTTTTGGAGAACCGTACCGT